TAATTAGTTCTCCATTAGTCCAATATATCGGTACCCTGCAGCTGGCCGTTTCTCTCCGCTTTCCAAATAGAAAAAAGCAAACACTCAATTCGGAAAATTCATGTTCGTAATTTTATAAACGTACAGTTTGCTTTCCGTGCTTCGGAAGTGAATTTTAAACTTCTGCATTATTTTTGCAACCGGAAGACATATTCGAAAATAAGTTGAAACTATTTTTAAATAAGCAAGTTATTAGAATTCATTGCGTTCTACTTTACACATTTGTTTTAGTTGTATTAGAAGTACTCGACGCTTTAAACTTGTTCGCTAAATCTAAGATTTTAGTTTTATTATGCGCTGAAACTGTGAAAATTAATTTTACAATCTTATTTAGCATCCTATCACTTCGTTATTTACTTACCCAAAATAAGGAGTTAATTTATAAAATTTGGCATTGTAATCTTAATGTGATTCCGTCTTAATATAAAACGAGTACTAAGTTTCCTACCTACCAGGTCAAACTTGTTATCCGATCAAAATAAGTCAATATGCCTTAATTTGACCTTTTCTCCTCCGTCATTGTCAATTTGCTTTAGGTTGCTAATAGTGTAAATTTAGTACTAACTTTAGTCATCGCTTTATAATGAGAAGGTTAAAGTTTCTTATACTCAAACAATAATCACTGAGAAGTTTATTGCCATACATTATTTAGGTTAAAGTAATCCATCACCTTCTACTATTAACTGTTCCAACACAGCAACGCGATAGCTTCAAAGCCGAAAATGCCTTCGAAAACCAACACAAATTACAGGCCACAAACGAATGTCGCTAGCGCTTCGGGCTTTAGCAGCCTTCGATCACCCGTCAGCGCATAACCAAATTAGAGCAATTTAAGTCAGGAAATTGGAAACGCTATCGGGCGCCCGATGCGCTGTTGCAACGGGAACGCGTCTACCCACTGGCATTCCAGACATCCACCGTTTCGGCAGCCGGGGCTAATGTCGGAACAATGTACGAATCTGGACAGACAGATCCGAGCAGCCTCGAAGATAAACGACAACCGTGAAGCGTTGTAACAACTGATTGATATACGGCCGACGATGATATCATAGGTACATACCGCTTAGGTAAACCGGTCGAGCCGAATTCCGCACCCGACTCAGTTTCAGTTCGAGAACTGTTGACATTATACGATATTTAGATAGCTGCCGAACGGGCGAGAATTGACTGTGTACGATTGAGGCTTGCAATTCCAGATTTATTTCTATCTCCATTTGTTTAGTAGTTAGCAAACAGCAAAGTAGATTCTAACAATCAAACGAGTCCGTCGAATGTGCTTTTAGTCAAATTATAATTAGAGAATCGGTAAAACGTACTGGGCAATCTAATGTTTGAATTGGAATTTGGAATCAGGGGTGTAAACCGTTCACCACACTGTGTTTAGTCATTTGCAATTGAACCGGAATGCAACTTCGAAGTCAGACTACATTCGATTGCAACAAAGTTAAGAGCATACATATGCCATGATAATAACAAGTAAGTAATCGTACAAGTTTTAGAAGGCAACATACTCGTGTACTTACCAATAATATCGGCAAGCTTCGGTCAGAGTTTGGACTGCATCGACAGCTAAAATAATAGCGAATCAAGTATGCAACGGAACTTTATCAAAGACACCCCCTCGTGCGTGCGACGCTCGTGAAAGCCAGCTCGCTAACTTCATATTGGTTAAGAAACTTTGACTTTAGTTTGGAAGCTGCGAGTAATATAAGACGCTAAATCACAAGAAAGCCGCGTCTATTACTAATTTAACCGAATACCTTGTAAATTGGAAATATATTAACATAAAAAAGTCTTGGGATTGAATAAATTGACTAGTAGCATCGAGGAACGTAAATTTAAATTAAATATTGACACAATTATAATTTTTTCGGATAATTACATAACAAAATCGTTCTAAAATGAAAAAACAAAATTAAGTCAAGAATTGGTGGTAAATATTTAGAACCAAAAAGACATATTGTAAGATATAAATAGCAGGAATACTGAATGAAAACAGAAGATTAAAGAAGCGGAATTGATATTGGGTATCACTGAAAAGGGCACTTTGAATCAAGAAATTTATAGTCCAAATTACGTAAGCAACAAGCCTTCTAGATAACACTTAATCGGCGTAGGCTCCAGCGATTACACCGGTCGTTCGGCTAATTAATTTTTAAGTCAGTATCTCGGTGCCAGCAGCTTCGAATTTCAAGTGAATTCCACTGCGATCTACATATTATTTAAGGGTTGTTGCTTGATTTCAAATCTCGATTTGAATTTTGTTGTTGTTTGAGGGACGCCTGGCTTGAAACTAATTTGTTTATTATAAACGTTTCGGCGTTAATTTACCGCGATTCAATTAGAATATAAAATAATATGAATCAGTAATAACTTTTTGAAATGGTTTTAAAATATAAATACTCTATTGTTAAATACTTTTCGTAGTGTTAAACTTCAAAGACTGTATGTTAAATAAGAAGATTTAATAGTTTATAATAAACTAGATTTGGCAAATTACCATACCATTAAAACCATTTCTGAAAATGTATGCCCGGAAGTAATTTCACGTACGTGTTTGTTAAAGCTTAAGCGTCCCGAGCTATAAAATTAACTTGGTGCAATTTGTATCTTTTTTTTAATACGCCGCAGCTGCGCAGATTAAACTAGAAGGCACGTTATCTCCATAACTCTTTAGCCCCACTTTAAACTTTCGGAAGAATGCTCAAACAAATTTTCGCTCATATTATGCATGCGACAGAAAAAGCTGTGTCGTGACAAACGAAATTTGCTCAGGCCGTTTGGCCCATAAATCCGATGGTTCCTAAATCCTTGAAAAGGCACTGTCGAACAGCTTTCATCAGAAAATTCTCCATTATCTGGAGGAAATCGTTACCGGGGTCGAAACTCGCCCACCCTTCGTCCCCTTTCATTTACGGCGTTGCGTGCACGCGTCCCCGTGGCCTTAACTCCAGGTGGGTGTAGTCATTGTATTCGGTATTTAAGTGGCTCATTTGATATTCTGAGACAGTTTGCATTTGGAAAGCTCGCACGTAGAGAGTCGAGCGGTATCGAGGCATCGGAGTCACGGATCGTACGCACACAGCGGACAGATAGGTCACATCACATTGACGCGCTACTCGGCCGCAAACACGCGCTACGCTACGCACACTCGCGCTTTGCGGATTTTGTCGAGTTTGCGCAATGTTTATCCACAAATACACTAATGAAGGTACCTACAAAAGCGACTAGATTGTTAATTAAACTTGCTCAAAATGTGACATCATTACGAAATGACGCCTCGCCGGGAGCACAGTGCACGGCTTCTATATTATTGAATTAATGTGTATAATCAGAATTCTCGATGTGCGTTCTTGGATATAATAATAGTAGTATACAATAGAGGTATAGTTAATAAGTATCTTTAATTGATATATGTTCCTACTACAGTCAATAAGCAATAAAATAAATAAATAAATATTAGACAACACCACACCACCCGTATTATGGAGTATCTGAGACCACGAAGGTACTACAACACCCAGACCGAGACAATATAGTAGATTTCATTTTATTTATTGAACCATACGGTAATCGAAGCCGGGACTTCCGAATTGGCGACGCCTTGAAACCGGCGTGCGAACCACTCAGCTACGCAGGTTGTCAATAATTTTGTTAAAGTTCTTAGAAATGTAACAAGATTTTAAAGTATCTCCTTTATTCTTAAAATAATTCTTTTAATTAAAAAAGATTATTGTAGCCCAAGAATAACGGAAGCGGCGCTAATATTTAATTAAACTAATTGCGGTTACACATTATTACATAGACACCAAAGCGATTCAAAAGACCCCATCATTAGGCCGCGGACCAAAAGGAATAACCATTCCCTTAATCATTATTCCTAAAGACTCTTCATTAAATTCCTTTTATCTCTCCCGGGATATTTCCTTCTCTCGGCATCAATCACATTCAGTCCGAAAAACTCGTTGGCTTTATTCTTAACTCTCATAAGAGGTAATGAAGGTTTTGATCGTCGTGGGCTGGCGGGTGCCGATTACTTTGAAAGCCAGCACAATGACTCCCCGACTGTAACCAATGTTGAATACTGAAAAGTTTCTTAGTCCACATCTAATAGATAGGGGGCTAATTACGAGGAAACTTTTGTAGATAGACACCTGCGCTGACTCGCGACCAGACAAAGACCAACTTATCGCAGACTTACAGGCCTCGCCGCTGCGTCGTTTTAAATTAAACTTTAACCTCTCACGTGAAAGCATTTTATAGAATGGCACGCCTACAAAAGACGATTGGTATTACTGATATAGGAATAAGGTCTTGGTTCAATAGCGACTTATGACATTAATAGGACAAAGTATTGATTGAATTAGCTCTTAGAGTTTAATCATGTCACACCATTTTCAATTAGTTATTTGAATATCAACCAGAAACTAAGTACGAACGATTGTTTTTAATATAATATGACACGTCTTATATTTAAAATTGTATGGTAAGATACAATATACTTGAATATATCGTAGTTAATATAATTTGTATTTTGATTTAAAGGTGAAGTTTGTTCTAACCAAATTGTGTCAAAATGTTCACAGTGAATTTAAGAGCAAAATAATCATAATACAGTTTGCGAGTTCTACCGAACGAGTCTAAATTCAGCGGTAATGTGTTTAATATTATATTCACGGAATGATTTGGCTTTTGGAGAAATTAACGTTGCCTAATAACAAATGGGACATGACAGAGTAAATTCAGCATACACTTTTCCAAAAAGTTTTGTGTAAATTGAATTTAGCGAGCGAAGTTGCTGTAACTTCACGGTCTTCACTCTCTCAACGCTGACATGTTGCGTAGAACATGACGATGTAATATTTCAAATTCGTTTTGCCAACGACTAAATGCTGCGTAGTCAAATGCCTGGTTGTATAATGCTTATCTTAGAATATTAGAATAATTAATGTTTTACGTACCGGTCCAAACTGTTCGAAGTAATTCTTTACATCTTCAAGCGTTGTTGGTGCTGATAACCCTCCTACGAAGATCTTCTTTGTCCTGGTGACCATCTGTAACAAAATTTAAATAATCATATACTCGAAAACAATGAAACAAAAAATCGTTATATTCATGAATTATGAGTGCGAAAGGTTTGATTAATTGATAATTTAACAATAGTATAATACGCACAATAACCGAGCAAATTTTAAAATAATGATCGTTAGTAAAATATACAATAATCCCAGAGCAGTTGAGTGTTATTCTCTGAAGAATGCGTAATACAAAACAGTCCTTTATTATAATAGCAGCTACATACCCACGCTCAGTCAGTGAACCCACTAAAGCAATTCGGACTGTACAGACTGGTCTGGGGAATTAAATTTTTTTGCTTAATCTTTAAAACTCTATCTCGAGAGACTCGTTAAGCTGAAATCCAGTTTATGAAACTCGTTGAACATAATCGTCGGCGAGTTACAGGTAATATTTATTCAATGAATATTTTAAGAATCAAAGCGTAAACGTTTAAAGGGAATATCATTATAATTTCAATACAACAGTGTTTCGTCTGAAAGGCGTGCCAGTTTTCCCTCTTAAATATTTATGCAGGGTTAATACCGAGATAAAAAGTGTGCTGCGACAATTACATTATGGCCGTTGAGATTTTAAGGAAATTGTTGATCAGAATGGACTAATTACTTAATGACAAAACTGGAGATGTTGAGTATAATCGAGGAAAAGGTCCGTATGAACCCTACGTTTATGTATCACCTGACCGGGAAGTGTCGGCGACAAAACTCAAACAATTAACCCTCTCTTGCAACACTGAATGAAACCTTTTTAAAATGGTGCGGTTATGCGAACTCAATTCACACAGTTTGTGCAAAGGTGACTCCGGTAACATCAACCAGAAGTTTTACTAAACATAAATAAAAAATAAAATGACGTAGAGATACTGAAAACAAGTTACATTGATTTATTTGGTGATTAAAAGGGTTTATAGAAGAAAGAAGGTTTTACTACTATTTTTCAGGAAACAAAACCATGCTAATAGATATAATATTAATAACATGATATAAACATCAGGCTTGAAATTTAGAAAAAAAAAATGTGCAAGTAGTTAACTAATAAGGAGTAAAAACAGAAATTCTATTTAGTTTATCAGTTAAATAAGAGAAAAATCTGCTTCAATTTACACAAGAAATGGCTTAGATAATAGTCATTAAAGTCGAGGAGTGGGGGCTCGCTACGTCACAGTTTTGTAGAAAATGTACAAAAGCGTGAAGTCATGCGACATTTCAATTCAACGTATTATACGTATTTATTGATAACGCAAAAAAATACGTATGTTTAATATTCTTCAATAACCTACCTATTGTAGTATGTGAATATTAAGAATCATGTTCTAAACGTGATTTGGATGGAATGCACTGGTATGCAAATAATTCACGTTCGATGAATGTGCTTCCTTAGCAGTTACATATCACGTATCCTAATATCCCCTCTTAGATTTAAGGAGTATATAAGACGAATATTGTTTAGTTAAATGGAGATCTACAACTTGGAACATAGTATCATTTCTCCCGACCACGCTGACGCTATTTCACTATCCTCACAAAAAAATTCTTCATCGTCCATATTATCTACTTTTAACCTGTTGTAAGCTCTATCAAATCTCAAATAAAATTTAGATTTTATACACATATACATATACACACAAAACGCATATGATTCAATAACGCGATGGTAGTTTACTAAACGAATAATGTCATAAATTTAAGTAAATTATAAAATTAATTATGTTTAAGAAACAATAATATAAGTTTGAAAGTTTTGTTTTCATATGATTTTTTAAGAAACCCACTTATGTTGATATCTGTAAGCGACGATGTATAGAAGCAGTTAAACATTTCAGGCACTAGAGCACCCGATAAATATTATTATATTTCAGAAAGGGAATCCCCATTACTACGAGTGGCGAAAGATAATAGCTCACTGGAAATTGAATAAAACAAGATTCGGTAACATCTAATGTAAGTAATGTAACTGAGTAAGAGGCACGGACTTCTGGGGCGATCCCAAACGAAATCACACTCAAATATACGTAAATGATGAATAAGTGGCACGGGGTGGGTGGGGTCGGACGTGTCCAAGTAGTGCCGCCCGCCGAGGCCTCCTGCCTTTTCCCTGTAAATCTGGAGTGTGACAACATTCCCCGAAACCCCTGCCTCGTTGTCTCGTTGAATCGAGGCCCTTTTTTCCTGCGTTTAATTTTCTCGCGCCTTGTCAAGATTCATTATTACACTCACTATTCTTTAAGGTCAGGGAAGTCTTAGCGAAAATACGACATTAACATCAAAACCGTCCAGACTCGGTACTGAAAGTAAATTAATATGTAATTATAACTTTATACCTTAATTCATTACTTTTAAGTATAAAGCGTATTGAGTGACTGAAACAAAAGAGTATAAAATAGAAATTATTATCTCCAAACTAATCCGATATAAAGAAAAGAGAAGTTAATTCCATTTTGTTAACTGACCTTTGTTATTAGGACTGTTATCCGTTGAAGCGAATTATCAGTGATGGTCATAACACAAATACACGGGGAGCGATAAATAAAAATTTGATTAAGCGGCATTTATAAATGGGAATGTAAAGGGTGTCCCTCTGGGAGTGAGTGTCAGGTTTACCGTTGGCCACGTCAGCTGAAACTGTTGGCAATTACCTTAAATGTGGACAACACAGCCCACTCCGCCGGGAAAATTATTATTCACCGCATATCCAATTTTTGGCCCGCTCTAAATTGGAATACGCTACCTGTGATTGCCTGAATTAATCGCTGCCACGAATGAGTTTGCCTAGCCAAATTGTTTGGACACTCAGCTTAAGTAATTTTATTCTTGATCCGAATACTTATCATCTTTATGTATAGTTGGCACAAGGTCTTAAAGTTAAGAATTATTTTTTGACAAATTGATATATTCTTCTCCATATGCATCTAACATTTATCATTTGACTTTTAAAAGAATAACTCGACATATTTAATAGAACAATTTTTCCAAACGCGTTCAAGGACCAACGAAATTAAGCGGACCCTCGTTAACGAGTATGGTTACTCGCAGTCATTTCGTCGTGAAAAATACAACAATTTAATTTAGTCCAACTTGACCGCGGGCGCCACCAAACAACGTGCTGCATAAAAAAGGTACATACATCAATTATGGCAGCGAACGGTTTCCCTTTACGTTGTGACTCACGAGTTGCTCTAACTCAATTCATAATATGTCGTTTCGTAAGTTGTAGTGTGAATTTTTATTTTTCTATTATGGCAGTAGTGTGGCATCGAAATTTGGAGGCTAACCATGAGCTCTTATAGCAATGCTAATCCATGCAGCGAGAACGATACCGCTATTGATGTGTATAGTTCTATCCTGCTCATTGCAAGGATTAAACATTGCAATATGACGTGGTGGTAACCCCCCTTATCTAAAATTATTACGCTCCCTGTAGCTGCGTAATGCACGGCAACTTATATTTTTATAAAGGAAACATGTTGCTTTGCTAGATTATTTATTATGAGTAGACACGACGTATCGCAAAAAAAAATATTATACTCGTAACTATCATTGAATAAAACAGTAATTGATCAACTTAAACGAATATATTATTCAGTTACTGATTATTTACAACATCAGTGGATTTTAAAATAGGTCGTTATTGTTATACAAATTGAAATCCACATTTTATATTACTTTTTTAATTCTATTACTTAGTTTCAATGACATGATTGCGTGTCGCAAAATTATTATTATTTCTCTATTTATTATTGTCAACTAGATAAACTTTTGTGTAATTATTCAATTTGATTTAACAAGAAATCAAAATGAAGACCTAAAAATGCATTTATTTGCTTATTAAAATTCACTTTAAGTTACATATCTCTTCCAGTAGAAAAAAAGGAATAACCGCTAGCGAAATCCAAGTTAAAAACAGTTTTCTTTTTCCAATTCCATGTAACGTAAAAGAGTGACCACACCATTTATTGCGGTACTAACGCTTGGGACAATATTAATCAATTTTTACACAGAGGGAATTTCGGGAGGATCGTCCACACAAAGGTCGGTCGCCCTCCCGACGCTGACACTGCATTTCATTTTTGTTTGCCCATAGCCTCGGACGGCTCGTCTGCTCTTTGTCTCCCTAAATAAATGCGTATTTTGAAGCACCTATTTTTCATTACTTCACAGCCGCAAGAAAGAATTCGACCTATTACAGATCGCACTCTATATAGCTAAAGATAAGCGATTTAACTCTATAAGACACTATAGTAGTAATATATTTCTGAGTATATCAAAACTTTAATACACAAGTGCATTTTTTAAATTAAAACTATAATAATTGCATCGTAAACTATAAAATTTTCATACAGCGCTATATAGACAGCGTAGATATTCAAATGATTAGATATACATTTTTTGTGATTGATCTTACATAAAGTCGTATCAATTTATTCTCTATCTAAATAAACTACATCACTTTTGGATAATCTAATATGTTTGTAACGGTGTGCCATGTCACCGTTTGTTTTCCTAGGTTTCAGTATGCAAACTTTTTGCTTTTGAAATTCAACATCATTTCATTTTACTATTCGTCTTTCGTAATTTAAAATTTTGACTAATCAATTATACTCTTTATGGATGTCAGTTCTTAAGAAATTCTCCTATACACAAGATGAAATTATAATATAATACAATATTATTGGTATAAATTTTACTATGTAATTTTAATAATTCATATATTATGGTGATACAATAATATAACATATTTACTAAATTAAAACTGTATTTTGTACGATCCAAAAGTGTAACAAGAAGCCCGACAAGGGGTATGTATTCGTTTATTTGATAAGAATGTATTAGTTTAAGTAACTTACGAACTGTTTTTTAAATTTATTTTTGTTTGTTACAGTTTTTTATTATTACCCTTATTACTTTAATAAATTATACTCAAGCTGATCAGCCTATTTAATTGACCGAAGCACCGAACCCGTAACACTGGCGCCGCAACG